GAAAGGACTTGTATCGCTGAAGTTTCTCGGAGAGAATTTTTATGGGAAATTATCAAACAAGCAGATACGTAACAATATTATAGCTATGTAACCAAATAAGGTTGAAGGCTATAATAATTATGCTTTGTCAGAGGGGGTGGTAAATAAATCAGAGTACAGGGAACATCCAGAGAGGAAATGTCATAGTTCTCAACTAGAGTAGATTGAGAGGATTTTTTGAAATATTTCCTTATCAAAGTAAAATTTTAAATAATATTAAAAGTTGATTTATTAACTATGTTTTGATGCCAAGGTTGTTTGTATACATTGATAATAAAATAGTTTAATAAAATTTTGAATGTAACTCATTAAAAGGTTGTGACATGCACACTTTGACCTACTCTTTGCCAAAGGATTAAAGGCCTTGACGCTGTAGTAAAATGATCTTCCGTGGCCTAGTTTTAGGAAAATTAATTGAGTTCTTACACTCCATCAGGCAGAAACCTAGCTAATATTTATGTAATCTGTTAAGGCATATGGCATGAAAATTAATGGTTAGAGAAAAGATCAATGTGCAATGTTTGTACATAAAATGAACCTTAAATAACCTTATGTAATCTTTGTACTTACAAAATAGCATCATCCAATACCTTAATGCAATGTGCACATGTGGGGGTGCCATTCAACATGGTATTGTGTATTTGATGTCAGAGTTAACAACTATTCATACTACCCTACACTCCTGACTTAGCAATAGTTTGTGATAGAGTAAATACAGGATACAATATACTGGAGTACTGAAAAAAAAAACCTATTGATGTACATTTCAAGATCCTAGAGGTTACGAAAATACACACAGAATGTGCAAACTGTATGATGAAGAAAAGTATTTTTATTCTTCACATGAACATGACCTTGCATTACATCTTGTCAAGAATATATCAGACTGATGTTGACAATTCACAGACGTACCTTAAGTACAAATATTTTTGTAACACATTCGATTTATTGTGTACAACAGTCGTGTACATTTTATTAAAAGCCTGCCACATTTCGTGTAGATACATGTAGTAAATTTGGAATTATACTCAATATTCCTTCTCCAATATAGCATCAATTGAATGAACCACTTCATGCGTGTTTGGTTAATGAGGAGTTAAGTATAGTAAGTAGTTTAGTGTGAATATTTTTCATAAAAGGCAAAATTATCCCATATTTTGATATATACTTACGTGTGGTAAGTAGCCTGGTGTGAATACACTGACAGTGTTTGAGACTCTCCAGGAGTTCTGATGGTATAACCTATTTTTGATATTTTATGAAGCATGTCTAATTTCACTGAATAATAAATCTATGAGAACGACAAGCTATTTCAGTTCAGCGCTTAAAAAAATACTTCAAAAGTAGATTCTCACCACTGATTGATGAATTCTTCAAACTCATTAGTGAAGTGATAACGATAAAAAAAACAAAAGGGTCATCATTAATTATGCTACAAATTTTATACTTTTTCATGTTAAAATGAGGCCCCTAATAGAAATATAAAGAATTTTAAAGCTTTCATTTTCAGATGATCTAATTGCCAGTGGGTGGTTAAACATGGGATTCTGGAAATGTACTACGTGTACTTAAGTTATTTTAAAACCAAAAACCACACGATGAATGATACATATATGAAGCAACTTCTTTCTCCTCTAATTAAGAATTAATGAAATCACTAAATGAAAGCTGCATGAACATAGTGGGTACACAATATTTTCATGGCAAAATCTGAAGTATGAATTTTATGAAGGAATGCTTTTTTAACAACTATTTCACCCTACTTGTGAAGTGGCAAAATTAATTCCGTTATTCACTGATGATCATTATTGCCCGTCAGTCGGAGCAGTCAAGTGGCAAAATTAATTCCGTTATAAAGTGATGATAATTATTGACTCTCAGTAGGGTAGTCATGTACAGAGTCAAGAATTTCATTCACAAATTCTGCTAAAGAGGAGTCTAGTTGTGAGTGTGTTGTCAGGAAGGGATGTTTCAAGAGCTGGCTGTAGTAAGGCCTCTTCGTGTAGTCCTTTTGCAGGCTGAAACATAAAGTGAACACACTGTATGAGCTCTATGAAAAACATTTACATTTACACAACAGGAAATAAATAATGAACTTTCTCACAAATAAGTTTTAAACAAATTAAATACTAAAAATCTCAGATATAGATATTAGAAATTCAATTATAACCTCTACATACTAAGTCTAAAGCATTATGATTATTGTACATTTTTAAAATAATAGGCTGAATTACAAATACTTTCTTATTTTTCAGTGGAACAATCATCTAAATACTAAGGTTTCCACAAGGATGAGTAATGTGAAGAAATTCTCTCTACTTCTATAAGGAAATGTCCCAATATAATGTGGTACCTTGTTTCAATGCACAAAGTTTAGGAAATGAAAGGCAGTGATGTGTGTATATAAAGTAATTAAAACAGTTAAGTGACCTGTCTAGACTATTCACATATGACATTAGGTACGTAGAGTTCTGACCGATTCTGATGGCCATGCAAATTGTCTCAATGACTGTGATTACACCCACCAAAAACACCTCTTGTACAAATTACACTTTATGCCAAATGATCTGATCAAAAATAACAAATTGATTGACTTATCTAATAGAAGACACTAGACGTAGTGATGCTTCCAAAACCTAGGTATCTGGGACATAAAACTCAATAGGGTTATGGTACAGTACTCTAAGTGTCTATAAATAAATGAAACAATTCACACACAAAACCTTAGCACATAAACACTGCTCTTTGAGACGGGGCTCTGATAGGTAACAGATCCATTCCTTAAATACCTTTCTCTTGGCAATCTGTAGTACTATCTACAACCACCCTTCTTTATACACGTGGTGACACCATCCGAAGTCCCTATTCCTAATGTAATGAAGTTTGTAAAGCTTCCCATGCAAGCACACAAGCTACTCTTTAATTATACAGGTGATTAGAAAAACACAAATATTATCATCTATATGTCAATAAAAAAGTTCTCAACAAAGGACACCTGAAAATGAAAAGTAATTGGATAACAAGTCCCAATCACAGACAGACAGCTGGTTCTAGTAATTGGATAACAAGTGCCAATCACAAGCAGACAGCAAGTTCTAGTAGTTGGATAACAAGTCCCAATCACAAGCAGACAGCAAGTTCTAGTAGTTGGATAACAAGTCCCAATCACAAGCAGACAGCAAGTTCTAGTAGTTGGATAACAAGTCCCAATCACAAGCAGACAGCAAGTTCTAGTAGTTGGATAACAAGTTCCAATCACAAGCAGACAGCAAGTTCGAGAAGTTGGATAATAAGTCCCAATCACAAGCAGACAGCAAGTTCTAGTAATTGGATAACAAGTCCCAATCACAAGCAGACAGCAAGTTCTAGTAATTGGATAACAAGTCCCAATCACAAGCAGACAGCAAGTTCTAGTAACTGGATAACAAGTCCCAATCACAAGCAGACAGCAAGTTCTAGTAATTGAATAACAAGTCCCAATCACAAGTAGACAGCAAGTTCTTATCAACCTAGTTAAGTTGATACTAGAGAGGTTTATCCAATACCTTCATGTGTAGTCAAGTTCAGGAAGCAGCTTTGTATAAATGTTCTTCATAAAAGACAATATTATCCAATACCATAACGTGTAGCCAATTGTGGGAAGTACCCTGGTGTAAATATTCTTCGTACAAGACAATATTATCCAATACCATGATGTGTAGTCAAATGTGGAAAGTACCCTGGTGTAAATATTCTTCGTACAAGACAATATTATCCAATACCATAAGGTGTAGTCAATTATGGGAAGTGGCCTGGTGTGAATATTGCTCTTACAAGACTTGTAATGGTTTTCAAACATTTTCATTTGTAAACCATTACAACTTTTGTATGTGATCCTGTGTGCTGACTTCCTAATCAGAGTTCATACAAGACAATATTATCCAATACCATAATGTGTAGTCAAGTGTGGGAAGTGGCCTGGTGTAAATATTCTTCGTACAAGACAATATTATCCAATACCATAAGGCATAGTCAATTATGGGAAGTGGCCTGATGTAAATATTCTTCGTATAAGACAATATTATCCGATACCATAAGGTGTAGTCAATTATGGGAAGTGGCCTGGTGTGAATATTGCTCTTACAAGACTTGTAATAGTTTTCAAACATTTTCGTTTGTAAACCATTACAACTTTTGTATGTGATCCTGTGTGCTGACTTCCTAATCAGAGTTCATACAAGACAATATGAAGTGGCCTGGTGAAAATATTCATACACACATCTTTATACTGATAGTGTATGAGATCATAAATTGAGATAAAAAGTATATCTTCTTTCACTAAATAACAAATCCAAAGTGAAGGTCCAGCTATTCCAGCTGGTTTAATGACATTGTTATCCTATGTAGGTTTTTGATAGGAAATAGCTTAGACACTTTTCTACTATGAATGATTAATAAGATGTATTCACAACAAATTCAACACGTAACTATTTCCCACATTTAAATGTCTATCATTACACTGAATGATCAATTACTTCATGTTTAAGTTTACCTACTCAACTTGAATAAACACAAGTTATGTTGGTTCGTTAATTATCTACAAATACTTTAAATAAAACACAAGTTATGTTGGTTCATTAATTATCTACAAATACTTTAAATAAAACAAGTTATGTTGGTTCGTTAATTATCTACAAATACTTTAAATAAAACACAAGTTATGTTGGTTCGTTAATTATCTACAAATACTTCAAGTGTGAAGTAGTTTCTCACCACTGATTAATGAATTCTTCAAACTCATTAGTAAACTGATCAGGAGGAAGACTAGGAGGATCGTCTTTGACTACCTGTTTCAATTGTTCAAACGGAGTTCCCCAGGTTGAATATGGAAATTTCCCTGTTGCCAGTTCAATCTAAGTATATAACAAGGAAGAAAAAAAAACAATTACTTTATCCCTTGAAATAATATTTACTGTCATATCACAGAAGAATGTTAGTCAGAAGATGCTCGATATAATACAAGGTTTATTTTGGATTATTTGACTGTAAATATTACCTACTCCCACGCACTTTACAGATGACAATCTTGAAAGACAAATGGAGTTTAAGAACAGCAAGGGGTTTTCAATGTAAAGCACCTTATCCTTAGTGAATTTCTAAAAAATGTGGAAATATTTGTCATTTGAATAGTGCCAATCAAATCATTTGTAACACCCAAACCCAGTAAATGTCAAAGGAGCTAAATTGTATTCTATAAAAAATGGTCTGAGGAAACCCCAAACTTGAAGTGACAAATTACTGGTGCATATCTCAGTATTTATCAATGATAATCTTATGCTTTTAAAGTTTAAAAAAAATGATTTGGCAATATGGGGAAATATGTATGATTACAATACTTAAGAAAGAGACAGAATACAACCTGCCTTCTTGTCATGCTCAAACTAAACTGGACAACAAAAAATTACCATTGGAGAATACTCAAGTGATTCAGGGTATTTTGATAGCACTGATTCCAAAAATGTAGTCAGAATTTGTCAATTAACTCTGGATTCTGAGTTATTGTAATACCTCAATATTTTATCAACACTATGTGAAATATCATGCAATCAACTTGGTACAATAAATTTATGCTGTGAAATTGTTTATTTGGACAGTTTAATGGGTAAAAAGCATACATTTTTGATAACTTCAAACAGAATGTATTGTATTGGTGTAAAATTCCAAATATATTGTTCATATATGCTATTTGTTCCCGATATAATTGTAGCAAACTGCACCACTTTTGCTTCATTCCCGTGCTCACCTGCACTGCTCAGGAATCACAAAACCTTCACATGTTCAGTTTACTAGAACATTCGAGAAGTCCCTCAACCGAAGATAAAAGGGGTGAAGTCTGACACATCTCTCTCAATTACTTCTCACTCATTCAATTGGTCACTTCGCCACGCTCTGTGCACAGTCAAAACAAAGACCGATATCCTTCCTAGCATCATACCCGTGTTATAATCAAATTCTGCAAAACTTTGTTTTTTAAAATCCTTTGATCTCTAGTTCTGTAAACATAAATTAGTTTATATTTTTTAGAAAATCATTTAAAATGCTGGCTGCCTCCAGTTCAAGTAAAGTCCAAAAGTGCAAAAATCACCCAAACAGTTCCTGCTAAATTTGTGGAAATTATATTACAGTTTCACGAAGGAAAAGCATCATACACTTACTACCACTATTTTTGGTGTAAAACTGGTGACCAAGAAAAACATTGGGCTCCATATGTGTGTTGTACAGTTTACACATCTGGCTTGACACAGTGGCTGAATAAGAAGAGATCAACTATGCCATTTTTAGTTCCCATGATATGGCATGAGCCCAAAGATCATCTAACGGACTGTTACTTTTGGATGACTAATGTTTCTGGATATTCAGACAAAACTAAAGAATACATTAAATATCCAGATATTGCACCTGCAATGAAACCAGTACCTCACCTTGGTGTTCCAGTAACACATCCACCAACGAACTGAAAAACAGAAGAGTTCTCCTGTGAAGAAGATAATCATCATCCTCTTCATCTAGTAATTTTATTCCTGTGGCACCTCAACATAAACTGCCTCATCTAATCACACAGGAATAGCTAAGTTATCTGATTCATGACTTGTCTCTATTAAAGCAGCATGGGGAACTTCTTGGCTCTAGTTTACAGTAATGGAATTTATTAGCTCCAGGAACAAGAGTTTCAATTTATCAAAGTCACAATCAAAGTCTTGCTTCTCACTACAACATGCAAGATACTTTGTGTTTCTGTACAAATGTTGATACATTAATGGAAGAATTAGGTACTGAACATCATCCTCAAGAATCGATTCATCTAAAGTTAGTCTGAAAGCTGTACTTTTGCACAATGGAAACACTAAGCCATTGATTCCTGTTGCTCATGCTGTGAACATGAAAGAAACTTATCAAAGCATGTAGACTATACATTCTTAAATGCAATTTTCAATGAATAAATAAAGTTATTAACCCTTTCCAGATGGGTCACAGGTAAAAGGCCATGTCATTTCATTTGTTGACTCGCATTCAAAATGTTATTAAACTACTATTTCATGAATTTATGTCAATAAGTTTGGAATCAAACTAGGGATTATAATTCAAATTTGAGTACTATACATTATTCAATTTCTTACTTTAAAAGTAAATGTTAGAAAACACAGATAAACATCAATTGTTTGTGTGCCATGTAGTATGTTGAATGCACCACTGGTTCAAATTAGATGTTTGTGATGTCAAAATACTAATTCTATAGTTTTGTACAAATTAGGAACTCAAATTACCAATATTGACAAGCTAGAATATAAAATAAGAGCCTCTTGTTTTTTCAATTTGCTGAGATATCACTAATGTATTCAATCAAACACAGTGGTCCCGCTCACCTCTTTCCATTATATACACTTACTTCAATATATGGCGTGAACAACCAGTCGAAAGCTCAGAATGTCCCCTAGTGGCTTTCTCAGTCATTTTCAAATATAAAATCATTATATCATTCTTTCGATACAAGACGTCAGTCAAGTCTTTAGTCTGCTCGAAATTTCATATTCTTTAGACCCAAATACAGCCTTGTTACTACAACTGATAAATTATAATTGAGTTCTATGGCATTGATATAGTAATTTATGATTTTTTGGTTATTCAAATGTATACATATAAAAGCTAAAAAAATTATTGCTTTACAAACCTTAAGACTTAATAAAAAATTTGATATTTTGCATATGAAAGCTTTGTAATGTTTACTGATAATCTGCCAAATTTCGTTAACATTTGGTTACTAATTTAAAATTTATAGCATGAAAACTAATCAGCAATGCCAAACAGTTGCATTTTTTCTAATGACAGAGAAATATGTTGGTAAATGCACTATTAGTTAGGTTAGGTGATGACTACCAACAGGCACTATTAGTTAAGTTAGGTGATGATTAGCAACAGGCACTATTAGTTAAGTTAGGTGATGACTAGCAACAGGCACTATTAGTTAGGTTAGGTGATGACTACCAACAGCCACTATTAGTTAGGTTAGGTGATGACTAGCAACAGGCACTATTAGTTAGGTTAGGTGCTGACTAGCAACAGGCACTATTAGTTAGGTTAGGTGATGACTAACAACAGGCACTATTAGTTAGGTTAGGTGATGACTACCAACAGCCACTATTAGTTAGGTTAGGTGATGACTACCAACAGCCACTATTAGTTAGGTTAGGTGATGACTACAAACAGGCACTATTAGTTAGGTTAGGTGATGACTACCAACAGCCACTATTAGTTAGGTTAGGTGATGACTAGCAACAGCCACTATTAGTTAGGTTAGGTGATTAATACCAACAGCCACTATTAGTTAGGTTAGGTGATGACTACCAACAACCACTATTAGTTAGGTTAGGTGATGACTACCAACAGCCACTATTAGTTAGGTAAGGTGATGACTACCAACAGCCACTATTAGTTAGGTAAGGTGATGACTACCAACAGCCACTATTAGTTAGGTTAGGTGATGACTACCAATAGCCACTATTAGTTAGGTTAGGTGATGACTACCAACAGCCACTATTAGTTAGGTTAGGTGATGACTACCAACAGCCACTATTAGTTAGGTTAGGTGACGACTACCAACAGCCACTATTAGTTAGGTTAGGTGATGACTACCAACAGGAAAATAAGTGACAAAGAAATTATTTTTTTTGTCTTAAAATAATTATACTATATAGATGAGAAAATTCCAGAAACTTACAAATGTACATAACTAACATTATTTATGCTTGTTTTTATCTAGCAGCTATTGCATGCAGAGGAAAATAAAGAGTTTCGTAACACTCCCTACATATACATTTCATTCAGTTTGAAAGATACATAATTTGAATGTATATAATATAAATAAATGATAAAACTGATGTCTTAAAACTCTGTTTCAGTTGCAGTTCAGCAATTTGATCTTAACTCTTGCACTTTTATGACAAATATGCTCCCCCTCCCCTCCAAGCACTGTTACAGGCACATGTGTGAGACACTCTAAATAACCTTTGTTTTAACCTTGAAAAATATGATTTTAACTTCAATTAAGTTCAAAAATTTGTACCACATTAAGAAAGGTTATTCCCCTACAGACTTCTCAAAATTTAACACACTCAAGTTTCATTTAAGCTAATAACAATGGTGTCTTCCCAAGCCAATTCTGACAGTATATAATAACATAATGGCTCCCCAACAATTCTGACAGTACATAACAACATGATGCCCCCAACAATTCTGACAGCACATAACAACATAATGGCTCCACCCAATAATTCTGACAGTATATAATAACATAATGGCTCCCCCAACAATTCTGACAATACATAACAACATAATGGCTCCCCCAACAATTTTAACAGTTATTAAGGAAGAAGATCCGTCTACCAATTCTTACAGCTCACAATAACAATACATCTCCCCAACCAACTGTGACTGTTTAAAACAACACATTTTACTTAGATTTTCCACTCTTGGTATAATTTTTTCCATTTTTGAAACAGCATACTAATATTAAAAAAATAGGAAAATTAAATCGTTCAACTTGCCATTGTTATTCCTAGGCTCCATATGTCAGAACGAATGTCATATCCACGGCCTTGGCGCTCTGGATTTATTCTTTCAGGCTGTTAAAAAAACATATACAATTAATTATATTGAAAAGTAGCATATCAAACATGAAGGCAACTTCATAAATAATGTAAACATTAGCTGTTTCACTGGCATATTTCTAGATAAATAACTCCTCCAGTACCATAAAAAGACATTTTAATATTTCACATACACAAAAACAATAACTATTATTAAACAAAGAGTTACATCCTTTGAGAACAGGTTTACTTGCAAGCACTCTGTATTGCAAACATTTCTGCTTATTCCAAACAATTCATATCACTCCACAGTTAAACCTAGTTCAAAAGTGCACGCCTCAGCATCAGAAAATAGTTTCATTGCACTTGCTACTTAGATCTCTATAAAACGTTATTAAGGATCTTAACTGATACATCTATCTAGTGTCTATCAAAATTCTGAATGTCCAAGGCACAGCATTTTAAACTGATTTTTCAGGAATTTTTTTATTATTATATTTATCTGTTTTCATGAATATTTCTGTTTTACAGTTTAGCTTTCTTACTTACAGCCATGTAGGGTTTGCAACCAGCTTCCATGGTTTTAGCTAAGGAGTCCACTAACTGACCCGAGATCCCAAAGTCACACATCTTGACCTCTCCTTTTCTGCTGACCAAAATATTGGAAGGCTTTACATCACGGTGCATGACTCGCAAATTTTTATGTAGATAACGCAGAGCACTTACAACCTGTTAACAAACACATCTTAAAGCTCAATAGGTATAAAAATTGAACTGAATCAATATAAGATGTACTAAAAACAAAAAAATATAAATCTTTCCACATATTTTTTATAACCATTTAATTTGTTTTTACTTCATATCCAAATTTCTTTACATCTTTTGAACTGAACAAAATCCTGTAAAAAAAAAACTACATCATCAAGATGTAACATTTCTCTCATTAAGTTCTGAGTACATCCACCTCCCCTACATTTGTTAAAGTCCAACATACATCATCCTATGCCAGATGTTAAATTTCTAAATAAATCCACCTAGACTAACGTATTAATGCCCTAATCCCATTCATCTCTAAGTTTTAGCTAATGACCACTGTGGTCAATTCGGTGCCAAGCAAACAATTCATGTAAAAGTCAAAATCTAAGTTCACTTGTACAACAGTTTTGCAACTGTGATTAATTTCTAAAAATAATGACTTGTACTAGCTCTGCTTGTATGTGTGATGCTTCTCAAAGTTCCAGTTCAGTTCTACATTATTCATTGTGAATCAGAGATCAGACTACAACTTGAAGCTATCATTATTCACTGTGAAACAGGGATCAGATAACAACTTGAAGCTATCATTATTCACTGTGAATCAGGGATCAGATAACAACTTGAAGCTATCATTATTCATTGTGAATCAGAGATCAGACTACAACTTGAAGCTATCATTATTCATTGTGAAACAGGGATCAGATAACAGCTTGAAGCTATCATTATTCATTGTGAAACAGGGATCAGATAACAACTTGAAGCTATCATTATTCACTGTAAATCAGGGATCAGATAACAACTTGAATCTATCATTATTCACTGTAAATCAGGGATACGATAACAACCTGAAGCTATCATTATTCACTGTAAATCAGGGATAAGATAACAACTTGAAGCTATCATTATTCACTGTAAATCAGGGATAAGATAACAACTTGAAGCTATCATTATTCACTGTAAATCAGGGATAAGATAACAACTTGAAGCTATCATTATTCACTGTAAATCAAGGATAAGATAACAACTTGAAGCTATCATTATTCACTGTAAATCAAGGATAAGATAACAACTTGAAGCTATCATTATTCATTCTGAATCAGAGATAAGATTACACCTACAACTTGAGAAAACTTGCTTGGACTCCAGTATAATTAATCAGTAAATGTTTCCTTCACCAAGCATTAGAATATAATCTAGAGTTCATACAGGTCCTTAAAAATCTTGAAAATGAGAAGTTTTCACAAATAACTTTCAGACATTTCCTGCATAAAATATTGTCAATGAATGCAAGAAATAAGAAGAAAATTAAAAGGACCCAAAACTTTGAGAGCTGTGAAATACTACAATAAAATACTCATGATTACTAGTGCAGGATTTCATATCTTAAATAATCATATGTCAACAACTAAACAATCAATTACAGCAAAATTTTGCTTGTTTTAACACATGGGTTAGGATCTCTAAATGTCAAAACTCCCATTTTAATTGCATGTTTACATTATCCACTAGCACTAAAAAGAGTAGTTATTTTCAAGTTTCATTGTTCAATGTTTTTTAATAGACTTTGTATGCTCAACAGTTCTTGATCCTGAGTGTGCCAGTTTTTGTAATACCTCCACTTTATAATTATTTAGTTGATTTTAGTATGCTTCCATGAATACTTGTGCTTTTTGACAAGCCAGACAGTATGGTCAAGTTTTTTAAATAACTGATCTTTCTGGGTCCTGGAAAATTCCTGTAACTTTGATCTTGATCAAATGTATGAATTTTATTTATGATGCAGAAAGGAATGCATTTTTCATGAAACATCTGCATGAAAGCCCAGAACTGGAATATTTTTACTACAGGAAAATATACAGTGATGGCTGAACTTTTTCCACCACTGGGTTTTGAATGCTGGCTACTGAAAGTTCAGACTCTGTAGCTCATTCAGCTAGTGTTAATGTTCTATGTACATCCACCTAGCCTACAGTGTTAATGTTCTATGTACATCCACCTAGCCTACAGTGTTAATGTTCTACATACATCCTCCTAGCCTACAGTGTTAATGTTCTACATACATCCACCTAGCCTACAGTGTTAATGTTATACATACATCCTCCTAGCTACAGTGTTAATGTTATACATACATCCACCTAGCCTACAGTGTTAATGTTCTACATACATCCACCTAGCCTACAGTATTAATGTTCTACATACATCCACCTAGCCTACAGTGTTAATGTTCTACATACATCCTCCTAGCCTACAGTGTTAATGTTCTATATACATCCACCTAGCCTACAGTGTTAATGTTCTACATACATCCTCCTAGCTTACAGTGTTAATGTTATACATACATCCTCCTAGCTTACAGTGTTAATGTTCTACATACATCCACCTAGCCTACAGTGTTAATGTTCTACATACATCCACCTAGCCTACAGTGTTAATGTTCTACATACATCCACCTAGCCTACAGTGTTAATGTTCTACATACATCCTCCTATCCTACAGTGTTAATGTTCTATATACATCCACCTAGCCTACAGTGTTAATGTTCTATATACATCCTCCTAGCCTATAGAGTTAAGTCTACACACACATAATCAGAAACCAGGACCATAGCTGAATCAGGGGAAAAGATGCAAACCTGTCCAGTCCTGACTGAACACATCTACTGTCAATGCTTGAGGATTAAGTATTGGAAACCAAAACTGAGAGCAAATTCACTGAAAAACCTCATGATGTATCATCCATTCTGTTGGAAGAATCTGGTTGGATCAAGACAAGTAATCTGCAATTAGGTTCGTCACTCCTGGAAAATGACATGCTGAAAGACTGATACAATAGGAATGAGCCCAGTAGAGAAGATCCAAGGTATAAAACAAGTTCTCGAGAATGTGTGCTTTTTTTACTAGAAATCCGAGGTACCACAGTGGAATTGTCAGAATGTAACATGACAATTTTATTTTTTCCCTTCAAGAGAGACAGACCTTGTACTATTACCTGGTGTTCTGCAAGGAGGTCAAGAACGTTGACATGGAGGGTAGACTTAACTTCTGTCCAAATACCCTGGAACTCCTAACCTTGAAGATAAGTTCCCCAACCCTGAATAGATGCTTTTAGGAACAAATAGATCTCGGGATGAGGTGGTGGAATGGGTACCCCAATAGTACTGTTATTCCAATCCAACCACCATTCACAATCAACAATGATGCTCCTGAGTAATGAGACAGGATGATCCAAAGGATCAGAAAGCATGATTCAATGATCGTGCAGTGATCACTGAAGGAATCTCATATGAGTTTGTCACAAAGTAATGAAAGAGTCAAGGGATGTCCACAGTGTTAATGTTCTACATACATCCTCCTAGCCTACAGTGTTAATGTTCTACATACATCCTCCTAGCCTACAGAGAGAGAAATCCGTGTAGTAGAAGAAGGAGACATAAGTAAAAGCCTGACAGCTCTTTCCATGGTTTGAAGCTTGATAGTAGTTGGTTGGTTAAACACGACTTTAGAGTATTGAAAAACACAACCAGATGGAGGAGATATTGCATTGATGACAGAATAGATTTCTCCAGTCTGATAGGAAGCCCGCTTTTTGTGGTTTCTGAAAGGAGAATCTGAATGTGTTGTTCTGCTATTTGAAGGGATGGTGCCAGAAGAATACAGTCATCCATATAATGATGTGTGTACAGGTCCAAGGAATGTAGATGACAAGAAAAGGCTCGAACAACTCTGCAGAAGACATAAGGTTCTGATGCAAGACCAAAAGGTAGAGCCCTAAACTGCAGCACCTGGCTCTTGTGCACAAATCTAAGAAATCTCCTGGAAGATTCCACTATGGGAATGTGGAGATAAACATCAGTAACATCGAACTTGGTCATCCAGAGCCCAAGAGCAAAGTGCCATCGGAAGTTGAGAAAGGATTTCATAGTAAATCGAGGAGGATGTGAAATTAGTTAAGTCAAAACAGATCAATGATTTTGATGCCAATCTCCTGTCTTCTTGAGTGCTACAATTAAATGGGAATAAAATCCTGGAAGAACTGGATCAACCCTCTCTACTGCCCCTTTGGCTAACAATTCTCTTATAGCCTGGGACAAAGCTCCACTCATCGTGAACATGTTGGAGGTGACAAGGTAACAGGTTGTGCAGATAAAGGTGGAGGTAATGAAAATTGAGTGACCAACCCTGAATTCAGAGCATGGACTACCCATGGATCCCTAGCGAAAGAACTCCATATGTCCATAAAATGATGTAAATGTGGTCCCACTGCTCCCCTGCTCATGGGATAGATACCAATGCTGTTGACGACGATCCGTCTAAGCTGAAAATCCTCGAGAACACCGATGGACTCTATTATGAGAACCGAAGGAGGGGTCAAGAAAAATAAGAGCAAACACTCCCAAATTAGTGCCAGAAAGGTGAAAAGTCAACAAAGATAAAGAATAATGTAAACAAACTGAATCAAATCTTGATTCAAACATCTCTGGAACTCCCACAAACAACATGGGATGGAGAAATGGAGCTTTCCATAGCTCCCTGAGGGCAGATGATGGTAAACAAATACCTTTTAACAAAGAATCTCTACCCAATAAATCCCAACAACAAACCAGCCAGAAAACCAGAGAAAGAACTGAAGAAGACAATCTGACTGAGGTAGACATCACCAAAAATCCCCAACTCAACCTCAAATTGCCAAGGGTAACACTAATAGGCTGCCAAAAAAGTTGGATCAAAAATAAATACTGATCTGTTTAAAGTTCTCACACGTTCCAAACGATACCCCCACAGGTCAAAATGGAAGGACTATTCTTTGAGAATCGATACATACCTCCTCCTTGTGGTGATATGCCAAAGCATGCTGTTCTGATAAATGTGGGGGACAAGGCAATAGCTATCCCATCGCTTATCTGAATGGCAAATCTCCCAGCATGAGCAGCAATATCAGGAGGTGGAGGAGAAAACAAGTATTCAATTGCCATCCTTGCTGCCAACAAGGAAGGAGTAGAGTCAAATGCAATAGGAGAGACACCCAAAACCTCACAATTCCAAGTAACCAACTGAAGAAAAAGGGGCTGAAGGTGGCTGATTAAGATAATCCTCTGTTGAGGCTGACCTAGTAAAAGAAGGAGCCAGAAAAAACTAGTCTAAATTCTCCCCAGTTGGTCAGAATCATGTGTAAAAGCCACCTCAGAACCCCCTAGTGAGACACTCTCGGTCTGCATACATGTGTCTGTTTCGCAATGGGTAATATCACAGGCAGCCTCAACTGAGAGTGATCCCTCCCCTGGTCATTGACAAATACCAGATAACAGAGGTGGAAGAGGAAAGGTCTGAATGGCTTCCATAACAGAAAAATTAACTTGAGAATTCATTTTATTATTATTATCAGTAGTAAAGTAATTTATAAATATATGAAGATATAACCATAGTAACACAAACCACATTCAAAGTTGTAATGTAAATTGTGAATAAACACAATACTCCTGTTTATAGAAACCCATGCTGATTACTTTGTCGAGAAAAAAGTAATTATATTATCTGAATGAGGTGATTATATACAGTACTTAGATAGAGGGCACATTGGAGTTGGTGGAGAAATTTGTAAATTAGAATTTATCAAGGGCATTCAAGTGGGGTATATAAAGACTGGGACAAGCATTTTCAGTGCTTAGATGGGCAAAGAGTGGAAACCCTGAAGATTGAGAAATACCTATAATGTCAGCAGAAATAAGTATTATTGGAATTTAAGAATAGCTTTTGCATCACAAAAGAATCAATTCACATAAAGTGCATAAACTGCAAATTCTTAAAAACATAAATACATGAAATCAACTACTACATTAACCAGTGTAGTAGTAGGATGTGTTTTACTTGAAACAGACATTTAAATTAGAGTCAAAGACATTAGTTTAATCATTTGTTAAATTTGAGCCAAAGACATTAGTTTAACCATTTGTTAAATTAGAGCCAAAGACATTAGTTTAACCATTTGTTAAGTTGGAGCCAAAGACATTAGTTTAACCATTTGTTAAATTAGAGCCAAAGACATTAGTTTAATCATTTGTTAAATTGGAGCCAAAGACATTAGTTTAACCATTTGTTAACTGGAGCCAAAGACATTAGTTTACCCATTTGTTAAATCAGAGCCAAAGACATTAGTTTAACCATTTGTTAAATTAGAGCCAAAGACATTAGTTTAACCATTTGTTAAATTAGAGCCAAAGATAGTAGTTTAACAATTTATTAAATTAGCGCCAAAGATATCAGTTTAACCATTTGTTAAGTTAGAGCCAAAGACATTAGTTTAACCATTTGTTAACTGGAACCAAAGACATTAGTTTACCCATTTGTTAAATTAGAGCCAAAGATATTAGTTTAACCATTTGTTAAATTAGAGCCAAAGATATTAGTTTAACCATTTGTTAAATTAGAGCCAAAGACATTAGTTTAACCATTTGTTAAATTGGAGCCAAATATATCAGTTTAACCATTTGTTAAATTAGAGCCAAAGACATTAATTTAACCATGTGTTGTTTTCATGCAAAGAGTTACTTAAGTTGTTCATATGTTTTTAACAAAAGTCTAACTTCATATGATTGTATAAGAAATTTATTTAAATTTACATAATGAAAATTATTTAATCACCAACAAAAAGTTATCACATTAAAACTATCACTGTAAATAGAAATTTATTTTATTTTTATTTTAACATATGTGGTAATCAAAACATAAAATACAAAGAATATAAACATACAGCAAATGCAATCTGTCCAAGAATGTTTTCAGGAATGGTTCTATTGGCCTTGTACACTAACTGGGAGAATTTGTCGAGAGAAGTATCCATTACTTCCATACAAATCCACACATCACCCTGAAATGAGAATGCAATCAGCACTTACTGTAAGGAAAATGGGTGTATGTTTGTCTCTCTCTCTGATCTTTAGTTTTATTTTAGAGAGTGACAGAAGTGATCAAAGTCTAAGGCACATATTTTGTAATATATAAAATTTAAACTTATAAATACTGTAGAAAAGACCAGAGAAAATCTCAAGAAATGTCAACATATTAAAAAATATTTTGACCTTTTGACAATTAACTCTCACCAGGTTAGATGTAACCATCACCTGATCAAGTATTGTGTTTACTATTGTTTTTTGTTTCATCTTAACTATATATATTGAACTGTACTTAATTTAGTTATTTTTATTGTGTGTATTGGCATGTCACAACCACATTGAGATACCAATTTAGGTTTTGTGTTACAATAAATGAATAAATATAGCATTTTATGTAGAAACAGCTATTGCAAAAACACATCAAGTCCTCAAACTTGTTTGGTGGGGCTTTAGAACAAGATGTCGTTTTCATCATATGACCTAATACATGCTTTAATAATACCAACTGAAATTAAATAGACTTTAATTATTAAGTTTGTAGAGTTTATTCTTGACACAAACAGTACAATTATAAATACTGGAAAATTATAATGAAATATAAATAATTGCCTACTGATAAAAAAGTAAAACTATAAAATAAAGAATTAATGGTCATAAAATCTACTATTAAAAAAGTTTCACAGAACAGGAGAGACTTTAAAAACACAGTATTTAACAAACGAAAATTACCTAAAAAATGGACCAATTTTTGACTTATCTCCAGTCACCTAACAACAACAAAGCCATGCTTCATACAGAACTGCTATTTTTGGCATTGTGTATCATTAAATAAATAATATTAGCAGTCCTTATACCAATTATCTATATGAATGTTTTATATAAAATGCCATTATTATGAAGTTATATTTCAAATTTTAAAAAATCATAGCTCTTGACTGTATAAAACTGAAGGATATTATAATAGTGTTACGACAGCAGAAGTCACGTGACGCTGGTAACACATGATGAGATTCTAGAAGGATCGGGGAACCTCATGAATGTCCCAGCGTTTGCTAGACGGCCTCTTTTTTTTTTAGTATATAAGCCCGGCAAATAAAGCGAGATAATTAATTGCAGATAGGGAGATATAGAGACAGATAATCGAGTCAAGTCGTAAGTAAAGTGTGTGAATCGATGTGAATTACAGCGTGGGTTTAAGTTAAAGTGACAGTGGAAATTAAGTGTATTACAGAGTTTTTAACGAGAAAGAATAAACTAGTTTTATTTAAGAAAGGGCTACTATCACTGAAGTTCGTGTGGAAAAATTTATACCGGAAATTAACAAACGACCAAAGACGTAACACTATTATAGATCTAAGCAAGTTAATCGGCTAAGACCAGTGCATGTAGTTCAAAACGATAACAAAATCAAAATAAACACAAGTACAATTCAGAAAACCTTCGTCAACACTAGGTTTCCATTTATGTCACTTAATTGAAGCTATGACCAGTTTCCTCTCACCTGAAGATATTTTTTTTTGGGGGGGGGGGGTGTTTCAATACCAAAATAATTTTCACGCAATGTTAGAAACATTAAAACTTATTTAAACCACTAATTCATTTCTTTACAATTATGTTTATTTTTTTAAAGATGAGATAACTACCATGTTAAGGTGAATAATCGCTATATAATAACACATCTGCCTACCAGTAAGAGATCGTGAACACAACCTACTTATCTCAACAATGTAACAAGTTAAATAATGACTGATTGTTAGTCACGTTGAACGGAGTTTGGTTTCCATATTAATCTTTGCTTCCGCCTCAACTAAAATAAATAATCAAACGAGATTGTCCTAGCGTTGGAAAACTTCTGACACGTTCTTGTCTCTTTCGTCACGATTATTATATGTACACACACATATATATATATCGTGAGTACATATGCATATTTCCTGACCTAAATTTTTAGTAAAGTGTGACATGGTTTTTTTTTTTCCTGATTCTCTATGCAGGCCTTCTCCGCGTGTACACCAGCAGTAATACGGGTCACTTCTCTCTCTCTCTCTCTTGATGCCAGATAATATATGGTCTACTGAGTTAGTATATTTTCGTGTCTTATGTTTACTCGTAGTACTTCGTACTCGCGTGCACACCAATAATAATACAGGTCTCTTCCTTTTGGGTCGTACATTATCATGTACAGTTTTTACAGATAGTACCTTTCATTCAAACAGGTACATGAGTAATACGTGTCGGTTCTCTCTCTCTACGATGAAATAAATGATATACTAAGTTGTTGCATTTCCGTGCTTCATTTTCACATGTGGTACCACTTACGACCCGTCTACGAATATCGTATGGTACTGTTACGTATCTGCTTGTTTGTTAATTTCCGGTATAAATTCTTTCCGAGGTACTTCAGCGATCCAAGTCCCTTCTT